GCACACTGCACATATCTTATTCAGGGGCGGCTCAACCATTATGCAAAGTATTTATTTATTTATTTATTTATTTATTTATTTATTTATTTACTTGTATACCGCTCTTCTCAGCCCTTAGGCGGTTTACAACAATTTGGATATACAGGATACAAAATCATTATGCATTTAAAAACAAAAGCATCACAAGTCATTAACATCATTAACATAAGCATCAAAACATCAATACGTCAATATAACAAATCCATCTCCTTCACCAGATGCCCCATCCCACAGACACCCTCATTTGAATGCATCCACCTGAGGGTAGGAGATCAGGACAGAACAGGGATACTTGTAGTGTACCGACCACCTCGCAACACTACAACCTCCCTACCTGAGGTAGCTGGGGTGATCTCTTTTGCAGTAAGCATTTGCAGTATAGTTTATTTTGCATGGGGCGCTCTTGAGGCGCTCTTGGGGGAAAATAGACCTTGACATATGGGAGTTGTAGTTACTGGGATGTATAGTTCACCTAAAATCAAAGAGCATTCTGAACTCCACCAATGATGGAATTGAACCAAATATGGCACACAGAACTTCCATGATGAACAGAAAATATATATCAGTGATTGGTGGGGGGGGGGCAAAATACTCTTTGCTTATTATTGAAAATTACCTAGGGCCGCCTCTGATCTTATTTGTAGTGCTAATAACACTTAAAAACAATACAATCATTAAAAAGAAGAACAATTTTTTACAAATATAAACTTATTGGTATTTCATTGGGAAGTGTGGGCCTACTTTTGGCCAATGAGATAGGATCGTTGTTGTTGTTGTTGTTGTTGTTTTGTTGTTGTTGTTTTGTTGTTGTTGTTGTGTGCTTTCAAGTAATTTCAGACCTAGGTTGACTCTGAGCGAGGGCCAGGTAAATGACCTTGGAGGGCCGTATCTGGCCCTCGGGCCGTAGTTTGAGGATCCCTGCCATAGCAGAACCACAATGCACCAATATAGAGAAGACATGGGTGAGACGAACACTATTGATAACAAGGCTCTGCAATTGCTGCCATTCTTTCTGTTGTTCCTCACACACGCACCCTGCCATCATCAACCCTCTCCTCAATATCTGACATTCTTCCAAACCCCAAGGAACTGCACTCTTTTGATGTCTTCCTTGGTGAGAAGCAAATTAAAAAGAGGGAAGCCAACTAACTTTGGGAAGGAGCGGTAATTCAATGCCAGCTTTGCTGTTGCCACTCGCCTTGTCACACACATTGACACACACAGCCAGCAGCTGATGGATTATGGACCTTTCAAGGCAATGAAGTGCTCCTAAGACACCTCCTGAGGAAGTCTCCTCCATCCGGAGGGGCTTATCAATCAAGCGGGCCAGGCAGGAGGGATCACAGATTGATGCGGAGCCCGGAAGCCCCAGCAAAGAAGGGCCCTTGATAAATAAAAACACTTTCTTTTGGATCGGCGGCTGAGAAATGAGGCTTTAATGGCTGTATCATGGATCTAAATGGAATTCTAAGGAGGAGGAGAGAAGTAAAGGAGCTGCCAAGAAAGGAAGGGAGCAAGGGCTGCATCCACAAACAGACTCAGAGCAGTTTGAAACCACATTAATTGCCATGGCTGCATGCCGTAACGTTTGTAGATATTTACTTGCTAATTGTCTACTCTGCATCCTGTGGATTTCAAGTGTTCTTGACTGCTGTTTTGAAAACCTAGCAACACTGAGTCCCACTGAAGAGACAGACAAAGTACGAGGGTTGAATGAAAAATAATGCCTCCACCTTCGTAACTCCTCAACAGATGGCAGTACTGGTATGCAGCAGGTACTGGCTTGTTCAGTAGACTATCCTCTTACAGTTCCATCTTGGCAGGAAGCCTTAGCATTGAATGATGGGACTTGCCGTACCTTCACTCACTTCCTGTCACCTCTGCGACCCTCATCCAATAACTGATCAAGACCAAACTTGGTACACAGAGCCCCCATGACCCACTCTACATCCTGCTGCAGTTTGGAGGAGAGTGGACCATGGATAATGGGACTTGCAGAACCGTCACTCACTTACTGAAACCACTGATACTCTCATCCAATGACTGATCAAGACCAAACTTGGCAAACAGAGCCCACATGACCCATTCTACATTGTGGGTGCACTTTGGAGGAGGGTGGACCACGGATGATGGGACTTGCAGTACCTTCACTCACTTTCTGAGACCACTGCAACCCTCTTCCAATGACTGATAAAGACCAAACTTGGTAAACAGAGCTCCCATGACCCATTCTACATCCTGGTGCAATTTGGAGGAGGATGGAGCATGGATGACAGGACTTGAAGTACCTTCACTCACTCCCTGAGACTACTGCAAGCCACATAAATAACTGATAAAGACCAAACTTGAATGAAAAGTAATGCCTCCACCTTCGTAACTCCTCAACAGATGGCAGTACTGGTATGCAGCAGGTACTGGCTTGTTCAGTAGACTCTCCTCTTACAGTTCCATCTTGGCAGGAAGCCTTAGCATTGAATGATGGGACTTGCCGTACCTTCACTCACTTCCTGTCACCTCTGCGACCCTCATCCAATAACTGATCAAGACCAAACTTGGTACACAGAGCCCCCATGACCCACTCTACATCCTGCTGCAGTTTGGAGGAGAGTGGACCATGGATAATGGGACTTGCAGAACCGTCACTCACTTACTGAAACCACTGATACCCTCATCCAATGACTGATCAAGACCAAACTTGGCAAACAGAGCCCACATGACCAATTCTACATTGTGGGTGCACTTTGGAGGAGGGTGGACCACGGATGATGGGACTTGCAGTACCTTCACTCACTTTCTGAGACCACTGCAACCCTCTTCCAATGACTGATAAAGACCAAACTTGGTAAACAGAGCTCCCATGACCCATTCTACATCCTGGTGCAATTTGGAGGAGGATGGAGCATGGATGACAGGACTTGAAGTACCTTCACTCACTCCCTGAGACTACTGCAAGCCACATAAATAACTGATAAAGACCAAACTTGAATGAAAAGTAATGCCTCCACCTTCGTAACTCCTCAACAGATGGCAGTACTGGTATGCAGCAGGTACTGGCTTGTTCAGTAGACTCTCCTCTTACAGTTCCATCTTGGCAGGAAGCCTTAGCATTGAATGATGGGACTTGCCGTACCTTCACTCACTTCCTGTCACCTCTGCGACCCTCATCCAATAACTGATCAAGACCAAACTTGGTACACAGAGCCCCCATGACCCACTCTACATCCTGCTGCAGTTTGGAGGAGAGTGGACCATGGATAATGGGACTTGCAGAACCGTCACTCACTTACTGAAACCACTGATACCCTCATCCAATGACTGATCAAGACCAAACTTGGCAAACAGAGCCCACATGACCCACTCTACATCCTGCTGTGGAGGAGGGTGGACCACGGATGATGGGACTTGCAGTACCTTCACTCACTTTCTGAGACCACTGCAACCCTCTTCCAATGACTGATAAAGACCAAACTTGGTAAACAGAGCTCCCATGACCCATTCTACATCCTGGTGCAATTTGGAGGAGGATGGAGCATGGATGACAGGACTTGAAGTACCTTCACTCACTCCCTGAGACTACTGCAAGCCACATAAATAACTGATAAAGACCAAACTTGAATGAAAAGTAATGCCTCCACCTTCGTAACTCCTCAACAGATGGCAGTACTGGTATGCAGCAGGTACTGGCTTGTTCAGTAGACTCTCCTCTTACAGTTCCATCTTGGCAGGAAGCCTTAGCATTGAATGATGGAACTTGCCGTACCTTCACTCACTTACTGAAACCACTGCGAACCTCATCCAATAACTGATCAAGACCAAACTTGGCACACAGAGCCCCCATGACCCACTCTACATCCTGCTGCAGTTTGGAGGAGAGTGGACCATGGATAATGGGACTTGCAGAACCGTCACTCACTTACTGAAACCACTGATACCCTCATCCAATGACTGATCAAGACCAAACTTGGCAAACAGAGCCCACATGACCCATTCTACATTGTGGGTGCACTTTGGAGGAGGGTGGACCACGGATGATGGGACTTGCAGTACCTTCACTCACTTTCTGAGACCACTGCAACCCTCTTCCAATGACTGATAAAGACCAAACTTGGTAAACAGAGCTCCCATGACCCATTCTACATCCTGGTGCAATTTGGAGGAGGATGGAGCATGGATGACAGGACTTGAAGTACCTTCACTCACTCCCTGAGACTACTGCAAGCCACATAAATAACTGATAAAGACAGATGGTAATACTGGTATGCAGCAGGTACTGGCTTGTTCAGTAGACTCTCCTCTTACAGTTCAATTTTGGCGGGAAGCCTTAGCATTGAATGATGGAACTTGCCGTACCTTTACTCACTTCCTGTGACCACTGTGACCCTCATCCAATGACTGATCAAGACTAAACTTGGCACAGAGAGCCCCCATGACCCATACTATATCCTGGTTCAGTTTCAAGGAGGAAACTGATCCAGCTGATCCCTAATCCATCTAAAAGGCAGACATGTGTTTTTAATCTTAAGAACAGACAAGCAACTTGAACTCTCAGGATGATCTGTGAAGGAATCCCACTGGAGCACTGCAGCAACATACCAGTGAGTCACTCTGGACCATGCCCTGACTTATAAGAAGCACTGTTTCAATATCAAGCAAAAGGTGGGTGCTAGAAACAATATCATACAAAAGCTGACTGGCACAACCTGGGGATCACAACTAGACACAGTGAAGACATCTGCCCTTGCACTTGGCTACTTTGCTGCTGAATACGCAGAGGCACTCCAAGTGGCCAGCTTCTGGTGGAAGAACATTGAGTATAATGCCAAGTTCTTAACTTTGTTTGTGGTTTTTCTATACATTATAACTGAATTCCCAATAAATAAATAAACATTGAGGAAATCCCAACATGCCATCATCTGGAAAGAGACTCGGATTTGAAACCCCCCTCCCTTAACCCTCCTCACCTGAGTGTTTTCCGGATCATGTCCTCATCTGTGATCCCATAATATGTGAGAGTCTCGTTCCAAGTTGGATTCAGAGTATTCCTTAAGGTTTTGGTCCTCAGTTTATTTGCCTGGAGGGTGGAGGACAAGAAAGAGGCAATTACGATTTCAACTTACAGATGCTCAACAGGAAAAAGTCCCCACAACACTTGAAATACCAAACTCATGGGGAAACATGGTGAAATGTTTAAAAGCACAGCACAGTTCTTGTATAACTCCAGGATGGACCACGGATGATGGGACTTGAAGTACCTTCACTCACTTCCCGAGACCGCTGCGACCCTCATCCAATGACTGATCAAGACCAAACTTGACACCCAGATCCCCCATGACCCATTCTACATCCTGGTTCAGTTTCGAGGAGGACAGACCACGGATGATGGGACTCGAAGTGCCTTCACTCACTTCCCGAGACCACTGAGACCCTCATCCAATGACTGATTTATTTATTTCATCTACTTATACCCCGCCCTTCTCACCCCGGGGGGGACTCAGGGCGGCTTACAAAGGAGGCACAATTAGATGCCCAAATCACACAACAAACAATACAAAATATAACAGTTCAACAATTAAAATGAAACATCAATACCTATTAAAATCATAAAAACTATCTCATATCAGAGTCCATATATCAGAGTCCATATATCCATGATGAAGACCAAACTTGGCACACATAACCCCCATGACCCCCTTTACATCCTGGTAAGGTTTGGGGGAAGACGGACAATGGATGATGGGATTTGCAGTACTTTCCAACCCTTCGGTTCCCACAGACCACTGTGGTCCCCAACAAAGACCGATAAAGACCAAACTTGGCACACAGAGCCCCCATGATCCACTCTACATCCTACTGCTGTTTGGTGGAGGGTGGACAATGGGACTTGAAGTACCCTCATTCAATGACTGATCAAGACCAAACTTGGCACACAGAGCCCTCATAACAAACTCTCCATCCTGGTGCAGTTTGGAGGAGGATGGACCACGGATGATGGGACTTGAAGTACCTTCACTTACTTCCCGAGACCACTGCAATCCTCATCCAATGACTCATCAAGCCCAAACTTGGCACACAGAGCCCCCACGACCCACTTTAAGTCCTATTACGGTTTGGGGGATGATGGACCATGGATGATGGGACTTGCAGTACCTTCACTCACTTCCTTACAGCACTGTGACCCACACCAATAATGGATCAGAACCAAACTTTAGACACAGAGGTCCAATGGCTTACTTTAAAACCTGTTGCGGTTTGGGGCAGGATGGACCACGGACAATGGGATTTGCAGTACCTTCACCCAATTCACTTACCACAGAACACTGTGGCCCCTACAAATCAGAGACCAGGACCAAACTTGGCCCACAGAGCCCCCATGACCCACTCTACATCCTACTGCTGTTTGGTGGAGGGTGGACAATGGGACTTGAAGTACCTCCACTCACTTCCCGAGACCGCAGCGACCCTCATCCAATGACTGATCAAGACCAAACTTGGCACACAGAGCCCTCATAACCCACTCTACACCCTGATGCTGTTTGGAGAAGGATGGACCATGGACGATGGGACTTGAAGTACACTCTCACTCAATTCCTGAGACCGCTGCGGCCCTCATCCAATGACTGATCAAGACCAAACATGACACAGAGAGCCCCCATGACCCATTCTACATGCTGGTGCTGTTTGGAGGAGGAGGGACCATGGATGATAGGACTCGCAGTACCTTCACTAACTTCCTGAGACTGCTGTGGCCCACATCCTATGACTGATCAAGACCAAACTTGACACAGAGAGCCCCCATGACCCATTCTACGTTTTGGTGCGGTTTGGAGGATGATGGACCATAGAGCTATACTTCATCTACACCCTCTGAACCCAGCCAACACTGGATCTAGACTAAACTTGGATCACAGACAAACAATGCCTTTCTCAAATCACTCGGGCAGCGCCGGGTCCCCAAGCTAGTTGGAAATAAAGTGCAAACGTTCAAGGTGATAAGATACCCAAGTCTGGACAAGGACAAGTTTGGCAACTTCCATAAAGTTCAGACTACAATTTAGAGCAGATGACACCAATTCCAGACTTCCCCTCACTCCCACCCACAATATTTTGCAACTCACAACCATATATGAGATGGAAAGAATCCATCCTCCATTCTTCCCTGCAGCGTTGCAAGTGATGGTCAGAAACAGGGAAGGCCACTGTCCTTGGCAACTGACAAACTCCCAGGGCTGCTGACCCCACGAACCCTGGCTCTGCTGAGCACGCTCTGTTTCCACAACTGGTTGAAAAAGATCGGGATCCCATAGGATGCTCGCTCTGGTCCCCTGGGCTTGTTGCCTAGCAACTGGGAGACAGGAAGGAATCTCCCAGTGGCCACTGCTTCAAAGAGCTCAAAGCGGAGTGCAGAAAACCCAGGGGATGCTCATTTTGCACGGTCTCAAACCGGATTAGAATTAGCTCTCAATTTCCAGGGAAGGAGGGAGGGAGGAAGTCTCCCAATGGATCCGAAGGGATGTCGCATAAAGAGGGAGAGACCCTTCTGGGAAGGCCCCAAAAACACTCCTGGGGCCATGATTCAATGACATGGTGCACTTCTATTAATTCTTAGAATGATCTGTATCATGTTTTATTGTACGAGGGTTGAATGAAAAGTAATGCCTCCGCCTTCGTGACTTGGGTTTGGATGGGAATATTTTAATAAATCAAACACAGAAATAATCCTGAGAATGTGCTCTTTAGAATCATAGAATCAAAGAGTTGGAAGAGACCTCATGGGCCATCCAGTCCAACCCCCTGCCAAGAAGCAGGAACATTGCACTCAAATCACCCCTGACAGATGGCCATCCAGCCTCTGTTTAAAAGCTTCCAAAGAAGGAGCCTCCACCACACTCCGGGGCAGAGAGTTCCACTGCTGAACGGCTCTCACAGTCAGGAAGTTCTTCCTCGTTTTCAGATGGAATCTCCTCTCTTGTAGTTTGAAGCCATTGTTTCGCGTCCTAGTCTCCAAGGAAGCAGAAAACAAGCTTGCTCCCTCCTCCTGTGGCTTCCTCGCACATATTTATACATGGCTATCATATCTCCTCTCAGCCTTCTCTTCTTCAGGCTAAACATGCCCAGCTCCTTAAGCCGCTCCTCATAGGGCTTGTTCTCCAGACCCTTGATCATTTTAGTTGCCCTCCTCTGGACACATTCCAGCTTGTCAATATCTCTCTTGAATTGTGGTGCCCAGAATTGGACACAATATTCCAGGTGTGGTCTAACCAAAGCAGAATAGAGGGGTAGCATTACTTCCCTGGACCTAGACACTGTGCTCCTATTAATGCAGGCCAAAATCCCATTGGCTTTTTTTGCCGCCACATCACATTGTTGGCTCATGTTTAACTTGTTGTCCAAGATCTTTTTCACACGTACTGCTCTTGAGCCAGGCGTCCCCCATTCTATATCTTTGCATTTTGTTTTTCCTGCCAAAGTGGAGTATCTTGCATTTGTCACTGTTAAACTTCATTTTGTTAGTTTTGGCCCATCTCTCTAATCTGTCAAGATCATTTTGAATCCTGCTCCTGTCCTCTGGAGTGTTGGCTATCCCTCCCAATTTGGTGTCGTCTGCAAACTTGATGATCCTGCCTACTAACCCTTCATCTAAGTCATTAATAAAGATCCTGAACAGGACCGGGCCCAGGACAGAACCCTGCGGCACTCCGCTTGTCACTTCTTTCTGCTCGTCACTACTAGTAATCACTTTTCCACATAATCACAAGACAATTGCATACATTTCTGCCAACGATGAACAAGTTTTCTGAAGCCGTCACGGAAGAAGTCGACACTCTGTTTCCGCAACGAGCGTCTCGCAGTTCTCTCCACGTCTTCATCAGAAGCATAATGATGTCTCCGCAGATGGAAGTCAGACAGTGCGAGATCTGGACTGTATGGAGGATGTCGTATGGTGGTGAGATCCAGTCTCTGAAGTTTCATATCTGTGCGCTTTCATTTCAAGCGTCGGCATCCTGGGTACGCATCGTGCACAGATCTTCCGATAGCCAAGCAAAGCAATAATGTGACCCACACGTTCTTGTGAAATGCCGATTATGCTTGAAATGTCTCTCTGAGCGATACGACGATTGTCCTGAATCAATCTGTCAACCTTTTGCTTGTGAAACTTGGTGGTTGCTGTCACAGGATGTCCAACTCTTTGTCTGTCATGCCAGTTTTCTGAAGCCATCATGGAAGAAGTCAAGACTCTGTTTCTGCAACCAGCGTCTCAGAGTTCTCTCAACGTCTTCATCAGAAGCATAAAGTTGCTTGTGAAACTTGGTGGTTGCTGTCACAGGACGTCCAACTCTTTATTTGTCATGCAAGTCAGATGTTCCCACCTCAACATCTTTAAACTTACTCACCCAGTGACGCACAGTTCTCACATCAACACAATAAAGCTAAACAGCTTGTATTCGCTGATGAATCTCCTTTGGGGTGCCACCTTCTCCTGTCAAGAATTCAATCACTGCACGTTACTTAAGTTGCATTGACCGACCATCTGCACAGGGTTCCATACTTCGCACTTTGACCACACAGCAAACCTTGGTGCTGCTGAGCTCTTGACCTGAACATAGGCAATTTGAACCTGCAAGACAGGGTAAGCTCCCATCTGTCAGCTCCAGCTCATGCCAACGTAACAGTATGTATAAGTATGTGAGAGGAAGTCATCGGGAGGAGGGAGAAAGCTTGTTTTCTGCTACCTGGAGACTAGGACACAATGGAGCAATGGGTTCAAACTACAAGAAAGGAGATTCCATCTGAAACTTAGGAATAACTTCCTGACTGTGGGAGTTGTTGAGCAGTGGAACTCTCTGCCCGAGAGCGTGGCGGAGGCTCCTTCTTTGGAGGCTTTGAAACAGAGGCTGGATGGCCATCTGTTGAGGGTGCTTTGAATGTAATCTTCCTGCTTCTTGGTAGAATGGGGTTGGACTGGATGGCCCATGAGGTCTCCTCCAATTCAAGGACTTTATGATTCTATGACTGTGAGAGCTGTTCAGCAGTGGAACTCTCTGTCCTGGAGTGTGGTGGATGCTCCTTCTT